AGGCTTGTTTCCCAGGCATCTCAAAGGCCAAATGTAGTTCCCTAGAGAAGCCACCTTGTGGGGCTTTAGATTGTACAGCAGATTGTGGGCAGCTCAGTGAGCAAATCACTTGAGTGTTTCTGGTCATGATGGGAGTTTGAAGGAGGCAAACAGTTACTGTCTCCCGTCTGTCAGCATCCTCATCATGCAAGAGAAAACAGTAACCTAGGAAAGTTTTTAAGACATGCTCTTTGCTGAGTTCTACACCAGAAGCTAAAGAGAATGATAGCCCAATGACTGACTTGGGCTTCATGAGGCTCAAAACTTAAAATACTTTATAAAACTTAGATATAAAAGTCCTGTCCAGGCGTGCCGGTGGTGTACACCTTTAATCCCAGCACTTAGGCCACAGGAGCAGGCGGATCTCTGTGAGTCTGAGGCCTCACACAGTGAGCCCTCTCAAAACAACCAACAACAAAAACCCAAGCATTAAAAACCTCCTTAATTAGTGGGCTCCTTTTGCAATATGTGTGTATGTGGGGTCCTCAGAGCTTGAGTTTAATTGGCTGTGAGAAAAATGCACCTGTGTACAAAGAGAAGCAACTTTTTTTGTTTTGTTTCAGTTTTTTGAGACAGGGTTTCTCTGGAACTCACTATGTAGACCAGATTGGCTTCGAAATCACAGAGATCAGCCTGCCTCTGCTTCCTGATTGATGGGATTAAATGTGTGTGCCACCACTTCCTGGATCCAGAAGCAACATTTTGAGACCAAGGGATCTGTGTTATGATGCTGACTGGGACAGTTCCAAATACCAGCAAGAGAACCACAGCCATATGGTAAATGTAAGTCCCTAGCTAGACACAGAGTAGCAGCTGTTCCAAGTGAGGGCAGAGCAAGGCTTCAAGGATGACAGGAAAGAAAGGGCCACATTATAAATCCAGGAAGCCTCCATTTAGTCAGACTATTTAGGGAATTGGAATCCTTGAATTTACTTTTCAAATGAATTAAAAACAACCCCTGCCCACACCAACTGGCCATCAAAAACCTTTCTAAATACTTTCTTTTCTTTCCAATTTTCCTGGTTAAAAATTAAACAGAAAAAAATGAGGTAATTTGCCCATTGAGACAACAGGAAAACAAGGAACCAAACATATTACCTAATCTGGTGGAGAGATGGACACTGAAGTGTTTACTATTGTAGAAAGCCCCCTGCTGGCTGAGTGGTCATACCATACACGGTGGCCTCCCTGGCACTTTGAGGTCACTCCACTGACTGTAGACAGACACAGTGGGCTGCTCTTTTGTTGATATGAAGCTAGCACACACCAAGTGTTCACTAAAGTCTTATTGAATAGATAAACAAGCAATTTCAGTTTAACAAATGAGGCCAGTTTTGAAATGAATTTTTAATTCTAACCATTCTGTGATTAAATTTCATGAGACTTCTTGCTGTGGAGAATTCTTCCCTCCCTATAGTCTATGTTTGCTTCAGGACTAGCAAATGATCTAGAATTGGCTGTTATTGAGCACCTTACATGTAGTCATGCCTGATGTTTGTGTGTGTATTGTTGTAAGCATTGTACAGTGGAAGAAGGAAATGCAGTGCTTAAAGACCCATCTGTGGCCTTACAGGGGAAATGGCTGAGCTAGGATCCAAACCCAGGTTTACTGCAAATGTGAGTGCGTGTGTGGTGGCGTGTGTGTGTGTGTGTGTGTGTGTGTGTGTGTGTGTGTGTGTGGGTGTGTGTGAGAGAGAGAGAGAGAGAGAGAGAGAGAGAGAGAGAGAGAGCATGCTGACTCTGTGGCCTCTTCATTGGCTTTCCTTTGCTACAAATGTGAGACCTATGGAACAGTGAAAGGGCAGGGAGGACTTTCATCACCCCACTGTGTGTGTGTGTGTCCTCATCATGCCATTTGACAGACATTAAATTGCCCATCTGAGAGATGACAGGGCTGGACTGAATGACTTCTTAGAGGGCATTGACCACATGGCCTAGTTTGCTGAGGCAAACTCAGTGGCTACCTGCTGTGTCATGGAAACTTATCATCACTTGCTACTCAGAAGTATCCCACTGTAGACGTTGAGTTCTATGGTAAGTATTCTTTCTGGCTCTTAAATTTCTGGAACTTCAGATTGAACCCAGTTGACTGGCAGCATAAGAATGATGGTTAATATTGTCTACAGGACCTGGATCACCTAGGAGACAAGCCTCAGGGAGTAACTGTCAAGTTTCCAGAGTCTTTTAATTAAAGAGGGGTGGGGAAGATCCACCCTAGCTGCGGGCAGCACCATTTTGTGGTCTGGGGCTCACAGCCTGAATAAAAAGAAGAGCGCAAGCTGAGAACCAGTACTGATTCTATCCTCTTCCTGGGGACCAGCCTGTAGTCACACCTTCCCTGACTCGATGAACCAAATCCTCAAACTGTGAGTCTAGAGTTTGTGCTTCTGGTGGGGTAATTTCTCTGCTAGGGCTTGCTTACTGTAAAATCATTCTGGTAAATGCTCCTCTGGTTGACTGCATTTCAATAACTTTGGGATCACTGCCTAAGTGCTCATTCCCTAACTCCACACTGCCAGCGGAGGACCGCCTTTTTCATTGCACTAGTAAGTCTATGCTGAGTGCTTCACCCTGTCTAACACAGGTTGATGCTGTTAGACGGTGCCTTGCTTTGACCTACTGCATGGGGTTAGAGAAACGACTTCGAACAAAAGATGAGGCCAGGTCTTCCGACATGCTCAGCTACCTCGCTGTGCTGAGAAGCATGCAAGCAAAGCACACATGCATGCAAGGCACACATGCATGGCAGATGCTTCAGGAAGCTCTCGGGTTCCTACGCTCCTGTGGCTTTCCCAGATCTGTTTGTGTCCATGTTGGCCTGTGTCTCCCTCTTTCATTGCTTCCAGTGTCCACTTTACAGACTAAGATGCAGTCTCTGGAAAAACAAACACGGTGGGATCTTGAGGTATGATGAGTAATGAGTATTTACTTACTTAAAAGGAACTTGTTTGAGTTTGTCTCTAACACAGTGTGAAACAGAAGGCAGACATTCACCTTTTTGTTTATAATTACACAGGTAAGAAAGCCACAAGTCCACACCATATAATTCTGCGTTTTATTTATTGTCTGGATGACTTACAAAGATGCAGGTGTCAAGGGTAGAGTCTACCCTACCATTTAACTACTCTGATGACACAGATACCTAAGTTGTGTCTGCTTACACAGTTCGGTGGTATGAAAAAAATTCCTCCACAGCTCCTGCCTATAAACAGGGAAAATTAATTTCATACCAAAGATCTGAGGATACTTTAATAACCACCCTGTTCCTGCTATTACAATAACAAAATTGCTAATACAAGTTAAAATATAAAGGCCTAACAGTTTTTACAAATATGCAAATAATCCACCACGTAGACATAAAAAGTCAATTCCTTTCAGATCACAGAATAAGGCACCATTGGGTTAAACATTTTCTCAGCTTTCAGTAAATTAAATGCATAGTGAAGGAGACACTGAACACTGAATTTTAATACTGCAATATATTTCCATATAAAATGATTTGCAAATGTTAAAATACTGTATTGCATCTTGAATACACAGAACTGGAAATATTATGGAAAAAAAACATACTTGTAAGCCCTGACTTCAGGGAAGAAAATAGTCAGGTTTTTGTGTGTGTGTATTCTGCCATAGGTTAAGCTAAGCACAGAACTTTTCCAGAGTTTGAGATGCAGCTGGGTTACTAATTTCTAGGCAAGGGATGTAGGTGTATTACTGCAGCATTCTTTTCAAAAATACATTCTACAACTTCTTTATTATGAATGGCAACTTTGAGCTGTGACCCTATTTCTAATTTAGAAATGTACCTGAAAAATGGAGACATACTAGGTCTTGTCCAATTTTCACTATCCCTTAAAAAATTCAGACCCTGGGCTAGAGGGATAGCTCAGCCATTAAAGGCTAGGCTCACAACCAAAAAATTCAGACGCATGTGTTTTCTGAGTCAGACTTTTCTCTGCCATACATAGCACAAGGAAGGAACAGTTCTATTTTTAGTAGAGTGGGTTACTTAGAGTCTAGCAAAAGGATGTTTAGTATAGTGAACATCAGCTCAAAGAATTCAAAATACATTATAAAAATGTTAGAAGTAAAAAATGTCAAGCTTGTGCTGGGCGTTGGTAGCCCACGCCTTTAATCCCAGCACTCAGGAGGCAGAGGCAGGTGAATCTCTGTGAGTTCGAGGCCACCCTGGTCTATAGAGCGAGTGCCAGGACAGGCTGCAAAGCTACACAGAGAAACCCTGTCTCAAAAAAAAAAAAAAAAAAGGTCAAGCTTGTTAAGCCTTTATTTCTTCGTTCTCATGGAAGACAGACAAATGGCAGAGGAGAAGGGAGGAAAATGACTCTCTAAAACACCAAGTTCAGGGCTTTGGCAAGGAAAGTTATAAAAATACAATATATTCAAATCAGTCACTTCATAATTTATTAGACATTTCAACTATTAGAATTCCTAAGTTCTGCTTCCATATAAATGAAACAATTATTCTATAAATAGGAATGTCTTTCCATTTTTCTTTGGATTGATTTTTTTTTTTTTTGTCAGCATCTCCCAGCAACATGTGAGCAATACACTGGACCCAAAATACAAATTTCAGGTAGATACATACATGTGGCCATGTGCTTTAATAGAGACAATGGCAATATTAAACATTAACTATATAAAACATCAAAATGGAAATCTTTTTCCAACTAAGCCCGGTCCTTTCTGTGGTCCTGTAGTGGAACTTAATTGCATAGATCCAGAACAAGGGATTCTCCCCAGAGATTCAAAACCACTTCTTTCCAGTTTCTACTGCTAAGCTCCTCAATCCACTTGACCCCAGTGGGTTTTGTAAGTTCTGCCCATCATCTCAAATCTATCCCCTACTCCCATAATTCTGGCTTTATACCTTCCTGAACTTTCCTGCTGGCCCTGAGGGAGAAGTTTGCTCTGGGGTAGAGGACTGAAGGCCACCGGAGATCTTCAAGGCAACCCATCTACTGACCAGTGAGTGCACAGCCGCTGGCTCTGAGCCAGGAAGCGCCCACCAGCTTTCAGTTTCTTTGCTTTATTCCAGCCACTGTAAACTGTACTAGGTCAACTTCTGACAGAGATACTCTGAAGAAATAGTTGGACATATTGAGGAAAAAGGCAAAATAAGGGACCAAAATCCAAGTTCTCACTGTCTGCCAAACATGATGATGAATTCTGTCCTTGTCTTGGGGCATCTCTTGAATTGCTAAAACTCAATTTGTCTGTTTAGACAAGCGGTTTCTGTACTAGCTCCCATCTTCCAGATCCAGACAGTCTGACAGTATGGTGCTTAGGCACGTGTGGCTACTGGATACCCAAAACCTAGTGATGTGTTTGTCCTAAGTAAAGGATGATCACTGGAGTGTGAAGACTTAGTACCAAAAATGTAAATATCTCATTAATAATTTCTATATGGATGCGCAGAGTTAAGTTTCACTTGTTTCTTTTTACCTTTACAAAACATGGCTGCTGGTCATTTTAAGATTGGTTATGGGGCTCACAGTATGTTTCTGTTGGACAGCTCTTCCCAGGAGCCTACCTCAGACTGCCAAAAATTGGATATCCTGCAACCACAGGGCTTTATTTCCGTGAGGCTTACTCAGCAACTTGCTTTGGGAGGGCCATCTGTGGTTCATGGAAATAGACCTGAGACCACATGAGAGAGAAAGGCATGGACAAAACCAGCTCTCAGGGAATTTAACAACTATAGCCTATAGCAAATAAGCAGTGAATGTCTGACTGTGTGGGGCTGAAAGCTGGCATACAATTTGTCTCTGCCTATTTGCAACAAAAGCTTATCGATTCCAGCAGCCAACCCCTGGCAGGTTGCAGCTGACACAAGCAATAGCTCAAGAATATATACAACATAAACAGCTAGGTGCATCATTTCTGATCCCCTCCCCCCACCAAACGCACGAATCCCCACCTCAGCTTCCGTCATTCCCTCCTACTATCTCTGAGAGGGACAAAGGAAGGGAGGGGGTGCGCAGTTTTCAAACAGCAACAACACAAGCAGCTTTGGAGCTTGGGTAGAGACCAGCAGGCAGAGATCACCTCGGGATGGGAGGAAGGGGTGGGGCGCCCCTTTCTCTTCGGTTGGATCCACCTTGATAAAAACAAAAAAGAAAAACAAAACAAAACAGATGAAATATAATTTTCGTTAGAAGCTTATGTTTACTGTGCAAACTCCAAGATGGTTGCAAAGGTGCTCACTGCCTTAGCCAGAGATCAAGGCTGGAAGTAGGGGTGATGGGTGCTGGCAACTGAGTACCTCCTCACAGTTATGTAAAAATAATTATACTGTGTATGGATCAAAGGTTTTAAAAATACAGATGAACAAAAACAAAACAAAAAACTCACATCTGCTTGGTTCCCCAAGACCAACATTGTGTGTGTTTTCCCTTTAGACACAGGTGCCTTTTCTTCTCGGATCCTAAGTTAGGATCCTAGAACATTTTCCAAAACTAATACTCAGTGAAAATGTAACTACTGGTGGCACACTGAATTGTATTGTATAGATCCGGGGAAGCTGTATCTTGCTGTAGCCTTTTACATTTCCATAAAGATTACTAGTGTTGAGGGACTTTTCATATGCTTTTCAGCCATGTACATATCTTCTTTTAAAAATGTCTACTGCAATGTTGAATCTATTTTTAATTTTTGTCTTTAAAAATATTTTTACACTTATTTATTGTGGACATAGGGTGCTCAAATATTCCACAACATGTTCAGAGGACAACTTAATGGGAGTTGGTTCTCTCTTTCTACCACGTGGGTACCAGGGATTGATTGAAGTCAGGCTTGGCAGCTGAGGCCTCTATCCATTAAGAAATCTCACCAGCCCCAAACTGTTTTATGTTTTGTTCTGTTTTTTTTTTTTTTTTTTTCCGAAACAGGGATTCTCTGTGTAGTTTTGGAGCCCTCCTGGCACTCGCTCTGGAGACCAGGCTGGCCTCGAACTCACAGAGATTGACCTGCCTCTGCCTCCCGAGTGCTGGGATTAAAGGCGTGCACCACCAGCGCCCAGCTCCAAAATTGTTAAGTTATAGGGATTCTTTATAAATCCTGCATATTAATCTCTTATCAGATATGATTACAAAATATTTTCTGTGTTTTCCTTTTCACTCTATTACTGTGTCCTTTTTAAAGCCATGAAAGCCCACTTGTGGGTTATTGTGCTGGGACCAGGTTTAAAAATGTTCATTCTTCTGCCATGCTTTTTGGAGGCTCTAACCGCTATGAGGCATGAGGCTAGATGCTCAAATGCTGTGGGCAGGTCTACTGCAGGCACCTGTCATTGGTGCACATTGGTTTGGCCCTTGTTTTAACTTAGAGCATTGCACTGATTGGTTCCTCAGCAGCCATCCCACAGGGAATGGATGGACCAGGGACTTTTGGGATAGAGCAAGTGTCTGAGCGATGAAAACATGACAGTTCTTTCTTACCCCTTCCTTATCATTCCAACTAAATCTTTTTTTAAAGATTTATTTATTTATTTATTATATAGTATTCTGCCTACATGCATGCCTGCACGCCAGAAAGGGGCACCAGATATCATTGTAGATGGTTGTGACCACCATGTGGGTGCTGGGAATTGAACTCAGGTCCTCTGGAAGAGCAGCCAGTGCTCTTTACCTCTGAGCCATCTCTCCAGGCCCCTAAATCTTTTCTTGAGAAGTCATCTGTGAATGACTTATCTGGATGTAAGTCAGCCATCAGTCATGCTATCTGACTGTCACCTGGTCTACTACAAGTGGCCAGTGAGATAAGAGGTGGCCTTGTACAGTGCTGCAATGAGGGACCATTCAAAGTGTACCCCCACTTTGTTTGAGAGGCCGAGGCAGCTAGAGGAGCAGAATTAAACATGTTATCTGATAGAAGCTTATTTTCATTAGATGACTTGCTATTAAAATTTGTACATTCCATTAATATTGAAAGCAAAATCTGTAAAATTGGGGGTGGCACTAAAAAATTACCAATTTAAAAACTATTTTAGATGCCTACTCTCTTTCAGGGTCTATGTCACTTAAGAAATCTGTAAGAGGGAGCAGGCCATTGATCTGGTCCTCAAGTCACTCACTGGAGTCATAAAGAAAGGACATGTTTAGCTATAACATTGAAATCCAGGGGTCATGGGAAGGCAGTTCTGTTATTGATTTAAAAACAAAAGTGATATTTAAATTCTATTAAGAATGCTTATGGGGGCTGGAGAGATAGCCCAGTGGTTAAGAGCACTGGCTGTTCTTCCAGAGGGCCTTGGTTCAATTCCCAGCACCCACATGGCAGCCCACAACTGTCTATAACTCCAGTTCCAGGGGATGCCAATGCATATAAAGTTAAATAAAGTTTTTTTTTAAAAAAGAATGCTTATGATAAATGGATAAATGGGGGAAGTATTTAGAGTTTAAACAAACAACCCCTTCAGTAAGTTCATTCTAGTTCCCTTAACAGATAGACATGCCCTGTTGATGAACACACACACACACACACACACACACACACACAGGCTCATTCACAAAACAGCCAAAGGCATCTGTTCCACATGAAGACTTATTTTCATTCAAAACTTCAACCACCAACACAGTAGTTTCCTTATAGTTATAACTTGGGGTATGTGTTGCCTACAAATGCAATATCCCAACTAAATGAAATTTCTAGGATTAGAGTTTTTCTTTCAAGTAACAATATTTTGTTTACTTCTGGCATTTGTTCTTGAGAAATTCCTACAATATTTCCTAACTCTTTGAAGTCAGGGGCACAAACCAAATATTCGATGTGTTTCATTTACTCAAAGCGCACACAATAAAAACTGCTGGTATGGTCCTGCACTGTAACCCAAGGCACAATTCCGTGGCCCTGGCTCTTCTTTTGACCCAGAACTGCCATTTTTTTTTTTTTAATTCCTCCCTCCTGAAATCAGCCACTTTGCTTCTAATTAGCCTTAATTTCTGCTGCTCAAAGGCTGGGAACTCACCGACCAGAATCTGCTGAGGGGCTCAGCAGGCTCTGGATGTCTGTGAGGTACTCTGCTAGGGAGTTTGGACCTGGCTATGGGTGGTATATCTGTTGTCTGACTTGAGGGATCAGGTTCTGAGGCTTAGGCCTCTGCAAGTTTCAACCTCATCAGTGCTAATTTTACATATTTCATGTTAATTTTTTTTAGTCCTGTGCAGGCATTGCTGTGAAATTCCAATGTGTCTATCCACCTCTTTGTTCACGTTTCTTCTTCCACAGGGGAAAGATGACGCATTTCATTATGGCAGGCAGTACAGACATTAGCAAGTAATGGGAAATGATCCAAATGTGCAATACTGGCAAATTCTTGTTTGCAGACTTAATGGACTCCCGTGAAATAAAAACCATGTGATAAAATAGGGGCCTGTATACTCAGCAATGTTATGTAAAAACCTACCACTATAAATGGTCTGCTGACATTACAACTGTGCAAAAAGTCAGAATTAGATGGATAACAACAGGAAGAAGATCTGGTAAAAAGAAATATCTGTTCTGTGAGATTATAAATCTATTAAACATTTTCATACACTACTTTACAAAACTATGGCCACAATACATCTAAAAGATCAAGGCAGTGTTTTGTTAATTTATATGGCAGTTTGCCAGTCTCAAACTAGAAGGAATCAAAGATGGATTGCCCTTTGCTGTTCTAGGAAGGTCAAAATGGAGGAGATTACCCAAAGAAGCAAAATAATAGAACTCAACACTGATACATCAGGGGTGTTCTGAGCTGCTAATGCCACCTTCAAAGAGCCACTTCTCATTCTGGGTGTGCTTGAGAGGATACCAGAGTGCAGACAGCTCCAAACGGGGCTTTCTATTCAATTCTAGGCAAGAAGCCTGGCATTCCTGTGCAGCTCAGGTGGAACCCAGGCCCTCACATTATGAGGCCGAACAACGACCTAGCAGAGATACTTACTCCGGCTTTCATTTCTGGCCAGTTTGCTGGGATACGTCTTGGTTGTTGGTACATATGGCTCTGGAGGTGGCAAATCAGAAAGCGGATGGAAGTAGAATCTGCTTTCCCACTCATCTGGGGGAGAAACAAACAAAACCTCAGCACAAGAAATGTGCTAGGGAGACTCAGGGAAGAAGGCAAAGAGAAACCAGTTCCAGTTTCCTGGCTGGATGTGCACACTCTCAGTGTGACTGGTACGCCCAGCTCCCTCACTGATCCTGGCCTGCAAAGCGAAGCAAAATGATGTGAACTGGAGTGAGCCGGAATCCAGCAGGTCTCTCTCAGGAGCTGGGGCCTAAGATACAGGGTGCTTTTCTTTTCACCACTGGGCCCAGGAATAATGGGTAAATGTAGGGGAAGCTGTAGCCACGCCTACTTAGGGGCTGGCTACAGGTGTGCCTGACCACGCTTGTGAGGGCGTGGTCAGAGTGACTGCGTTTGCACTTTCGGTTTCACTTTTGCTGCTTGCTGTACAGACCACTACCACGCCGGCTGCTAGGTTGCTCTGTAAGTAAGGCTTTTCCCTATTAAATACCCTTATATTTCTACCTGACTCCGTATTGGTAATTTCCCACTATAGGTATATATTAAATTTTTTCACTTTTAAATTTTATGTATATGGGTGTTTTGGCTGCATGCATGTCTGTGTATCATGTATGTGCTTGGTGCCTATGAAACTGGAGGGGGGGCACTGGGTTACCTAGAACTGGTGTTATACATGGTTGTGAGTCACCCTGCGGATTCTGGAAATCAAAGCCAGGTCCTCTGGAAGAACTGCTGAGCCTAACTGGTAACACGGCAGAAGGAAGCAACTTCATAGCCGTGGGCCACTGCTCACAGCCAACTGCTTAGAAGTGTAGGTCATAAGATGGTAATTTACAAACACAAAAGGACCATTACAAAATCTCTGGTGAATTAAATTGGAATCTCTGACAAGTTAGCCACACCGAAAACTCAAAACAAGTAACAAACTAGAAAAAAAATGAGCTGTCTTTTTGGAAAGCAGTAGAGAAAGGCTATTGCAATAGGAAGTCATAGCGAGCCTCACTGTGTCTGTTAGAACTAAATGTTAGTGGGTGCGGTGTGGATTACAATGACAGAACAAGAAGCAGCACTTCACACAAGCAAACATCACACACCTTCACAAGATGAGTCTTGGAAGCCATTTCGAACTGATGTCGATGGTGGGGGTGGGGGCGGTGCCCCAGCACCAGGCCTATCAGGAGGAAGAGGAGGCCTAGGCCCGCTTCTGGGACTGTCCACTCCACTCCTGGATGGCAACTGAGGGGTGGCAGGCAGGGCCCGAGCTGTGCTTCCATTTCTGCTTATTGGAGGAGGTGGTGGGAGGGGACCTGGAGCAAAAGACAAGACATGTTGTGAAGCATTGCCTTATATCCACATTGCCACTGTGGTCGTCATCACTGTGCAAGGTGGAGTGCCTGCTGAATACACTCCCCTTAACTAACTAGGGAAAATGAGAAACAGTGGTGCCCTTCTAGTCATGTATATAAGCACGAAGGGGACATAAACCCATGTGGATATGTGAGGTAAGTGCCTGTAATGGCAGCCAACCTGCTGTATGGCTTCAGGTTACCACTGAGGCTGGACACCAGATAGAGAAATTGAAAACAGGTAATAAATAATCTATATTGACAACCATGTCATTTAAAAAGCACCTTATCCTTTTAAAGAGTTATTGAACTAATTATTGTGACACCATAAAAATACTTTTTTAAAAGGAGTAAGATATTTATAGAATTAGTTTAAGTCTTTAGAAGATCTGTTTTTTTTTTAAATAAAAAATTCAATTATTTGTGTGTATGTGTGTCTGCACCATGGCACATGTAAGGAGGTCAGAGGGCAACTTTGGAGAGTCTATTCTTCTCCACCACCTTCACCTGGATTCCAGAGGACAAGCTCAGGTCATTAGGTGATGAATAAAGGTTGGAGCAAGCACCAAAAGATGAACTGTAATCATGATAGTTAAAGTCTCTTTATTCAAGTAAGCACCAGGGCAAAACACAGGCCAGAGCGAGGTTACAAGCAAGGCCAGAAAGAGAGCTAAGGTCTCCATGTACAGCCCTTAAGAAGCTCCCTTACGTCACCCCGGCTTTCCTTCACCACGCCCTTATGGGAGAGTCCCGGGTCCACTTGGTACCTGGCCCAGGACTATTGGGCGGGGCTAGGGTGTCTCCCTACAATTCCCCTTTTAGTCTAAAAGAGGATTAAAACTTAATAGTGTAAAATATCCAAAACTAACAATCATAAAGGTGAAATACAAGAAGATACAATAATCTGCAATGACACATCCTATGTCTATTTCAGCTAAGTCTTAAAGTCATGTGGAAAAGGTGTCTAACTTGAACATCTCCTTCCAATCCTCAAATGTGTGAGCCTCAAACATTCTAACTGGCCGAGCCCATTTTCTTGCTGGCCCCAGCACTAAGTTTTTAGACGTACAGTATTATGGCAGATCATACAAGCATATTTCTGTGATGCTCAGGATCTGTGTCCAGGAACAAACACTGGTCGTCTGGAGAATTGTAGGGGTCACTTCTAGATTATTCCTCTTGGGGTGGGAGGCACCTAAGCACAGGGGGTGACAAACTGTCAATCCCTATCTCAGTCTGTTAGGTGGTAGGTCCCGCACCCCAGTGTGCTGCTGGCAGACTGTGGAGCTTGGGTCCCTGTCTACCAACAGTCAGGTAGTTGTCACCTCTCTTACAACAGTGTTGCCCAGGAGAAAAAAGTGAAAAAGCAAATTAAAAACTACATATAATCCAGCACTCCAGAGGCTGAGGGAGATGGATCTCTGAGAGTCTAACGCTAGACTGGTCTACCTAATGAGTCCCTGTCTCAAAAAATACTTATATATAAAATAAAGACATATATTGCCTACACATTTGAAACAATTTTTTCAAAAATATATGAGTCTCTTCCTGAACTTGGGGCTCCCTTTTTCTAGGCTGGGCTGGGAGCCATCAAGTCCCAGAGATCCTCCAGTCTCTGGCCGCCCCTTGAGCTGGAGCTACAGGCCTCTGCTGGGACATTTGTTAACACCAATAGGAAGTGCTCTTAACCTCTGAATGTCAGGAAGGGGAGGGGAGGGAAGGAAAGAGAAGGGGAGGGGAAGGGAAGGAGAGGGAAGGGGAGGGAAGGGGAGGGAAGGGGAAAGATGAGATGAGATTCTGGTTCTGATGTCACAGCCACTCCGAGTGAGATGGGAACTTACTCCCAGCCATGTCAGCCAAGCTTCCCATTAGCAGAGCAGGGCAGGGTGGGAAAGCTCCCGCCTTTTTACTACCACTGTACTTGTTGGTCAGTCAGTCTGCTCACCTCCTAGGCACAAACTATATGGCCCCTTCCCGGGGGTTTTAGTCTCAGTCACGGCATCCCACCATCGGTATTGTGCAGTATCCAAGGCTTTACTTGTTTATGTGACTGTCGCTTGAGATATTTGGGAGAACGGTTTTAGGGACATGATACCCCCCAGTCTTGCCATACCTGATCTGCCTGGCGGATCCCTCACTGGAGGAGGGGGCCTCTCATTGGGTGGGGGAGGGAGAGGCCCAGAGCGTCCAGGTGAAGGCAAGGGCGGTGCTGAGGATGTGAGGGACAGGTTCCGCTGTGGCAGCCTCGGGATCTCATCATTGGAAGCAGGAGGCAGGGGAGGAGGGCCGGGCCGGCTGGGTGGTGGCGGAGGAGGTGGTGCCTGTGACCCGGTCCCAGGCCGTGGGGTGGAAGGCACTGGAGGTTTGTTGTTCTGTGAGGGAGGAGGTGGAACGGCTTCTCTGTGGATGGGGGGCCTGTTGCCCACGGGAGGAGGTGGTGGAGGGGGCTTGTCATCCAAGGCTCGGCTTGGAGTCGGGGGCAAAGGAGGCCTGGAGAACGGAGAGGAGGAGCTCGAGGGATTCTGGCGCACAGAGCTGGCTCCAAAAGCAGCACCTCGGTTTCCGGGAAACGGGGGTCTGGGGGCTCCCGGCCCTGTTGGGGATCCCCGGTTGTGAAGATTCGACTGAACAGGTCTTGGTGTATTTGGTACTGGAGGGGGAAGGTTATCGGGTTTTGAGCCCACATCAGGCCTCGGGGGAGGCATTCGGTTCCTGGGCGGCTCTGGGGGACCACTCCTGTGACCTGGTGAGGGTACAGGGAACCGCGCCGGGGGGCCACTTGGGGGCGAAAAGGGCTTGGCAGAAGTTGCTTTTCCTCCTGGTGGCAAAATCGGTGGTCGGCTTCCCCCAGAATCTAAAGAACAAGAAAACAGACAGGGGATCAAAAGGTGAGGAGCCCTAAAATAAATCAGAGGGCAAGGGTGCGTGTTGGCCCTTTTGCACAGATTGTTAGTAATCTAGCTTTATAAACTTAAACTGTTTGATATGCTTGCGTGGGTCTCCTGGAGGCAGAGACATAGATCTCTGTTTATCTTCCAGGTACAGGTTTTACAGCTAGACTTTCCAAAGAATGAGTTAAAGTATCCCTGGTGAGAGTTCCGGAGAGGTCTCTGATAGCAGGGAACAAAACCGTATGGATCACATGGATAGATGCTAATGGTTGTCATGGACCCTCACCGCCGTCTTTAGCCCCCTGGACCTTGTATGTCTCAGATTTGAAAAGTAATTCAGCCAGCCATCCTAGGTGAGTGAATGTAGTTATTCCAAAGTAAGTCTCTCTGTGTGAGGGTTTACCTAGTCCCTTTGAGAAAAAAAAAAAAAAATGCTCAAGGTGTTTGTGTGTGCGTGTGCCCGTGCGCGCGTGTGGGTGCTCGAGCGCTCGCACATCAGGATTTAGTGAAGAATTATGACTGCATTAAAAAAGAACTAGGAATTGATACCAGTAAGAACTTAATTCGCAAAGAAGCAGGACCCCCCCCCACACACACACACACATGCTAGGTCAACTTTTAGTATTAGGATGTAACAATTCTGTAATGCGTTTTTTGTTTGTTTGTTTTGTTTTGTTTTGTTTCTCGAGACAGGGTTTCTTTGTGTAGCTTTGGAGCCTATGCTGGCACTCACTCTGGAGACCAGGCTGGCCTTGAACTCACAGAGATCCGCCTGCCTCTGCCTCCCGAGTGCTGGGATTAAAGGTGAACACCAGGTATTTGGCCAAACTAAATTCTTAAGGAGGAACTAAGGTGAAAGGGGAAGAGGGAATCTAAACAGCCCCCCCCCCCAATCTGAAACCCAAGGTAATTCTTTTTAATTTTTTTTAAAGATTCACTTATTTTTATATTATGATTTGCTTGTATGTTTTATCTGTGTATCACATGTTTACAGTGCTCTGGGAGACCACAGGAGGGTGTTGGATCCTCTGGAAGAGTAGTCCGTGCTTTTAATCCCTGAGCTGTCTCTCCAGGCCCCTCCCCAAGGTAATTCTTGAAAAAAATCGTTACCATTGAAACATCTTTCACTTCAACTGTGAATTAAACAATGTAAAAATATTTATTGTACATCATTTTTCTAGATGTTATAAACACTTGGATAAGCAAAACAAAAAAACTTCTCTCCTGTATTTTATATTCTTATGGGGACAAAAATTGATAAGGTAGAAAATGGGGATTTTCTAACAGTTATTAGCACCAAAATGAATCCAACAAATCAAGAGTGCCCTGACAGCCAGGCCTGGAGACAGTGCCTCTGGGGCTAGGCCAGGTGAGCTGAGGTCTAACATGAAGTGGCCAGCTTGGGGAAGATGAGGCAAAGCACACCTGAGGCAGTGAGGTCTAGTAGAGACAAAGGCCCTGACTTGGACAGAAGCTTCACACTCCAAACAGAAGCCTGGGTGCCACAGCACAGAGGATTGAATCCACAGGAAATACAGTCCAACTGGACAGGGTACTAAAAGTTTTGTAGGCCAGAAGGAGTTAGATTTTACCCCCACATGAGAAGCACTTAGGGAGCTGGAGAGATGGCTCATCGGTTAAGAGCACTGCCTGCTGCTCTGAGTTCAATTCCCAGAAACCACATGGTGGCTCACAACAATCTGTAATGAAATCTGGTGCCCTCTTCTGGTCTGCAGGCATACATGCAGGCAGAACAATGTATATATAATAAATAAATCTTTTTTAAAAAAGGAAGCACTTGGATAGGTTTATTCAGTGTAGTAACATGAACCTGAGATTATTTTAATTCTGATTTTAGCACTGTAAAAATCCATTTTTCTTGACTAGGTGGTATAATTTTGTGACATCCAGCTTATGCTGTGTCTTCCAAATTCACATGGAGGCTATGTAGTTATCATCTATCTTAGAATAGCGGCAGGTCTCCTGGCACTGACTTCAATGCCTTCTTCATTTTACTTCCTTTTGTTTGATTTCTTTACCTTTGTTAAAAGTACCAAATGTACACATCTGGCAGCTGCCTAACATCTTTTTGTGTGTTTTAGGAAAACGATTTTCTATTTGAACACAAGACTGAAAAGATAGGACCTATGGCCAGCCACCCTGGAGAATCGGTGACTTTGACTTCAGATGAACACAAGATGTTCATACTGTTGCATGAGATTACCTTCAAGTTGAGTGTGTAAGGCCTATTTGAAACCCAAGTGAATTCTGTGATGGGCTTGGGTCCCATGCTCAAGCTACCTCATCATGGTCATTGCCAGGATTTCAGATAAGGGATACCCTCTCTGTACTCAGAACACTGGCTTGTACTACCAAATGCCTGCCATGCAAAGCACCTGCTGTTATGTAGTGAGGACAATAGCTGTTATTTTCTAGGACATTCTTCACGGTGTATTTGAAAATGACTTAGGTGTGTTTGTTATTCCAGACAGTCAGGCTGTCTGACAGAGAGCTACACTCCCAGGTTATCGGGTAGCATCTGGGGGAAGCAAGTTCCATTCTCCCTTTTCCATTCTCTCAGCTCCAGCTCACCCTTTAGAAAAGCATGGAGGATGGGCTAACCCGAGGATACTTTCCAAATATTTCATAGCTCTACAGGACTGCCTGATCCCCACTGATAAAGGGGATAAGCTGGGGCATAGTCCTTCATAAAACAGGGCAACATCTTAAACAATGTAAATTTTTAAAGGGCAGAGCTTTCAGGCAGGTCTGCCAAGCCTCCAAACTGCCAAACTGCCTGTTGTTCTGCACATCAGAGAAGGAATTGTAAATACCATTATCCCTGTTGGCTGTGGACCTCAGCTTTGGCATTCCAGCCTGGAACAGTCCTCCCAATCCGGGGGGTCCACCCCCTCCAAAATTTCCGCCGCCACCGCCTCCTCCTCCTCCACCGCCACCTCCACTGCCTCCGCCATAGCTGCCACCACCACCACTGGCGCCGGCTCCTTTTGGTTCTGCAGAAGGAAGAAAACACACATGAGAAAATGCAGAGGTATTTACCACTCCTAGCCCCAGGAAAGCCGCAAGACAGTGATGAAAGAGCAGGCTGATGCTGGGCATCCGTGGGATGATGATTTCTTCACTCAACTGAGGGATTTCAAGGGGTTGCCTTAGCCACAGAGCAGAAGGGGTTTGGGTCCAGTGGTAGAAGAAACAGTAAGAGGTGGTGGTGTGTCTCCATGATTCCCTCACTCGTTTGGTGTCATATCAGTATCTATTTGCTTTATAACCTAACATTAAGCAAATTGTTTGTTTGTTTTCAAGACAGGGTTTCTCTGTAGCTTTAGAGCCTGTCCTGGAACTTGATCTGTAGACCAAACTGGCCTTGAACTCACAGTGACCCACCCACCTCTGTCTCCCCAGTGCTGGGATTAAAAGCATGCACCACCAACTCTGGCGAGAGACATACACTTTTGAAAAATTCATCTTTTTAGTAACTTATATACATATGTGTGTGTTTAAGGTTAAACACCCATGAAAGTCTTATTTCCCCAACCGGTACCTTGTCCTGGAGAAGTATCACACAGCTGATATCTACACATTCATTGGCAGTAACACACACACACAGACAGTATTTTCATTTTACATTTCGAAACAAGGCAAAATTTGCTATTTATTTACGTCTTTTAGATTTGGGGGGGTTGCAGTTGTTGTGAGTGAGTGTGTGTGAGTGTGTATGTGTGTTGAGACAGAGTCTCACTGTATAGCCCTGGCTGGCCTGAAACTTACTGTGTAAGCTATGCTGGCCTTGATCTCACAGAAATCCACCTGCCTCTGTCTCTTGAGTGGTAGGACTGAGGCGTGCACTGTCATGCTGAGCTAAACATTTGTAGTTTTTATGATATAGTTTACACATGCTTCTTGTTAGGGTTCCTCCGAAGACACACACTTGAGAGTGTGTGTGTGTGTGTGTGTGTGTGTGTGTGTGTGTGTGTGTGTGTGCTTTAAATTTTCCTATTACATTTTGAACTTAGTTATTGCCACCAAAAATTTTATTTGATTTAGCTACTTTTCTGTATATTTTAAGTTAAAAAAACAAAAAAATGGTGACCTTTCATTTTCCAGTAGGCATATAGTCTTCAAATAATAAAGGCTTCTTTCCTTTCTAAAAACTATACCCCTTCTGTTTTATGTAAATAATCACTTTGATGGCTGAACCTCCTAAACAATGTGGATTATCAATGTTGCTATAGTAACCATGTTCTGATTTTAATAAGATCACTCCTGTTCTGAAGCTAAATATTAACTATTAGGTTACCAGAGTTTTTTGTTTGTTTGTTTGTTTAAATATTAACTGTCAATAAGGATCCTTCTATATTAGGCCTGAAGACTTATAATATGAAATCTTATCCAATACCTACTTAGCATTTATTGAGCTGATTATATGGTTTTTATTATTTTATATGAAGAATAAATTTTAAATCTAGTACTGAAAAGTGAGACTATCTTTGGTCTTGGTGAATTATTCTTACTAGATTGTTTGGCTTAGTGTTTTCTTATTCATGATAAGTAGTGCATGTCACTTTTTTTTGTTTTTTTGTTTTTTGAGACAGGGTTTCTCTGTGTAGCTTTGGAGCCTGGAGACCAGGCTGGCCTCGAACTCACAGAGATCCACCTGCCTCTGCCTCCTGAGTGCTGGGATTAAAGGCGTACGCCACCAACGCCCGGCTTTTGCATGTCACTTTTTTATTTCTGGAACTTCTGTGCTGACAGTTTGTTTAGGTGGCTGTCCTGTCTGTTCACAGTGTCTCTGACCTCTCCCCATTAGAAGCATCCCATCCCCACTGAGGTAGAGTTGGCTAAGAATGTCATCCAAGGTTAGCAGGTAGCTCAGTGGTAGAGTGCTTGCCTAATATCACAAGAACATCTGGAGCCCCCCTGATGGAAGCCACCAGCCTGCAGACTTCTTGTGTGGAAGGCCTTTGTTCCATTTTGCTGTCAGAATGACAACAGTTTCATGACATCTACCAGAGAGCTTTCTTTGACTTCCTGCTCAGAAATGACTTAAACAGTATTTGAATTAGCTGTTGCTTGAAATCTGAAACATAGAACTTACTAATAAAAACCACTTGATTCCACAGTTTTTCAGAGAGCAAATAATCTTAGAAAGTTTTCATTGTTTATGTGACTTCCTGAGTAAAGTTTAGTAAATTAATGATTTCTTAGGAAATTAATTCTTTAAGATTTTAAAATGAGCTGAGGAGCATGAAGCACACCTGTAATCCTGTCACTCACAAAGGAACTACCTGAAGACATTTCAGCATGGAACGTCATTATTCTAGCCTTAATTTTAGAAAATCTGTTTCAAATCTCTTTATTGACTTTCTGAGATTTCATCTTATTCATTAATGTGTTTTTCTAAATTAGCCATTCGCTCTCCATCTTTCCTAGGTGTACAGCTCTCTGCTGAAGACATAATCTGATAATGAATTGACAAGGACTACTTTACCTAACAGTCTAAACCCAATTATAGCAACAATTTCTAGAGTGTCTGCTTTAGAATGAAGTTTAAATTTTTACTAATTTTAACTACCAATAACGTAACATTGTCCTTGTCATTCAAATAGTATTCATCAGTGAATAATACACCTTACAGCACCACACATACACACAGGACACATTTACATGGTATTGTAAATTGAAAGTGTGCTGTGCTATAAGACACATTCATCAGTTTTGGCTACCTTCACATAGGGAAGTGTGATGGTTTGGGTACCATTTATGTGTATCCATCAAGGCTCACATGGGGGAAACCTAGTCCTCAGTGTATCCAAAAGGGAGGGGTATAACCTTTAGGAAATAGGGGCTTATGGGAAATAATTAAGCAATGGTGTGGGGGGTTGTTACTGCCCTCAGAAAGAACTAATATGGTTTCACAGGACTCTGAAAGGGTTTATTATGAAACAGTAAGACTGGCTGTCCCCCTCTCTGGTTTTCTGTCTTGCTATATGGTCTGCCTTATGCCTGTACTTCTATCATTGCTGTAACACTATCTATCCCCATGAGGTCCTCATCAGAGCCAGGCCAATGCCAATACCATACTCTTAAACCTCCAAACTATAAGTTAAATCAATTTCTTTTCCTTATAAAGTACTTGGCATTAGGTCCTTTGTTATAGTAACAGAGTGAACTAATACAAAAACTTGAAATTGAGGATAGTGGGCTGGCTCTAGGCCATTTAGTATAAATGGCAGACAGGGCTGAATTACAAAGCTATCATGCATAAGCACTTTGATATAGAGCCAGGGAGGTTTTGCATGCAAAAAAATACAAAAACCATTGGATGAATTTTGTTATTCACAAAGCGCCTGGACAGCAGTATAGGTATCCAGTTAAGTGTAGGGACAATGAAGACATAACATTGGGTTACATCTTATATCTGTAAGATGCACACCCCTCAGTACCACTGAGCCTGAGAGGAAAAGGTTACCATTATTTCCGTACACTGGAAGACATGGACCTTGAAAACTAGGAGGGGTTTCGTAAGGAGTCAGGAATAGGCCCACAATGTCCAGCTGCCTTGAGAGTTGGCAAGAACTCACACCTTCTCTTCAAGGCTCCAGACTCTTAGAGGAGAGAGATGATGCCCTCTGCCCTAGAGCTGGTAGCTTCTCTAGCCACACACTAGAGATCACAATTCAGAAGGCTGTTGGACCGAAGCTTCCCCGATAGAACTGTGCTGAGCTCCCAGACAGAAATACTGTGGGACGTCTGAGCTAGAGATGGGACTGTTAGTCAAGTGCTGAAAACCCACAGTGCCTTTCTGAGCACTGTGCAGACATGTGCCTGACAACAGAACCCTGTCCAAAGTCTCTGCTTTCCTCATTTCCATTTCCTCCCTTTCTCTTCCAACTCTGACTCCCCTCCCACACACTTCTTTCTAATCTACCTGTTAGGCCCGTTCCCCAGTGAGGTCCTACCTACTTCTAACCCTCCTAAACCCTGCATCCTAATTCACCTCTGCAAAGCTGCACTTGGTGACTGCCAGTTCAGTCAGTTTCCTTAAGTTTAAATGAGATCTGAGGTTATGATAAATCCTGGTGATATGGAAAGGACAGTGTCCACACCTGAATCCAGTCAGGGATGGTTTTCACTCCAACACAATGCAATGAGGAGGCTTATGTTGTGTGCACTTGCTTGTTTATATAGACCCTGTTTTACTGCAGAAGGCTCCTTGAACTCAGGTGCAAGCAAGTTGTGATCTCGTTTCCTCTCCCCAACCTCCTGGGAATCATGTCTTTCTCTAGAATTCCATTTTGCAGACAACAGAGCACCGTACGAGCATTATCTCATTGGAAGCTCACAATAGACGCATGTGGTCAGCAATGAGGTATCATCTCTACTTTACAAATGAAGTCACTTGGGCTGGGAGTTGTGGCATGATGGCTGCACAGGGCCCTGGATCCTGATTCGAAGGCCGTGGCACTTGCTATGTTTCATGCTTCCTTGTCATCTGTTATGCCAGGAGCAATGGGTTAATCTCCAGAAAGCACTATGAATAATTCAGAGAATCGCTGCTGTGTGTTTCTTGGACAAAGAATTATTATGCTGGCTTCCTGGGGCATTAGAGGGAGCTCAAGCCAAAGCTGTGGCTACAATGACTAGCACAGTCCTATTTTTTGCTAGCTTTGCAGCTGTTGTTAATATGAGGGGGGAGGTGAAGGCTTGGTGAGAAGCGTAAGTTGTCCATTAGGCTGTAAACCATTTAGCACTATGAAAAGAATTTTTACTTACTGTCCAATATTGGTGCACTTCTGTCATTGGTGACTGTCTTCTTGAGTTTCTTCCCTTTAGTGATGTCAGAGAGAAGGGCATTTCTCCCAGCCTGCTGTGTCTTATTCAAGGTAGGTTTCTCGGTATTGGCCTGAAAGGTAACCACACAGACTCATCACCATCCTTGGGGTACAATCATGCAATGTAGTTTTAAGATTCCAGGCTGTAAACTCTATAGAGTTTTGGTTTCTATGCCATTCTCTTTAAGGCCAGATGTCTGGGGCAGATACAGCAACAACAACAACAACAAAAAACAAAACAAAACAAACAAACAAAAAACCAGGAAGTGCATAAAAGTCTGTGATAAAAATCTGAATTTTCAGACCATAATCTTCCGATAAACAGCCAGGTGTGCTGGTCCCCTCACAGTAGGAGTTAAGTTTGAGGGAACTCTGCTGCCTGTTACTGGCCCTCTCCTGAGGCTGTGTCCTGAAGAACAGAAGGCCTCTCCCATGTTTAGCACTCACTGCTGCAAGGAAATGCCTGATTCTGTCAAAGCAGGGTAGGTTTGTAAACTCACTAAACTTTTAGAAAACAACTCCCTCTGAGTGCATTGACAAACACGCTTTCCTCCTTTGATGCGTCAGATTTACTATGGCATAATTTCCATTAAAGTGAATCCCTCCTGGCAGTTCACAGTACTAATAGTTTTGACAAACATATATAGTCAAGATAGAGAAGACAATATTTTTTCTTACCCCACAATGCCCTCATGTTCTTTTGACCATAAGATGTTTAATTTCTAATGTTTAATTCCTTTGAAAGCTTAGCTCAGAGAAAGTACACTGCTACTTAAAAAATGTTTGGAAGCCAGGCGTTGGTGGCGCACGCCTTTAATCCCAGCACTCGGGAGGCAGAGGCAAGCAGATCTCTGTGTATTCGAGACCAGCCTGGTCTACAAGAGCTAGTTCCAGGACAGCCTCCAAAGCCACAGAGAAATAGAAACCCTGTCTCAAAAAAACAAAAACCAAAAACCAAACAAACAAAAAATGTGGGCAAGTCTGTGATTTGAATTTGTTCCTGTCTTAAAAAAAGAAAAAAAAGTTTGAGTATTTCTTACAATCCTAAAGTTCCTGAATGAGACCTTGACCCTTTACGGTTATTTTAGGAATGTGGACACTCGGGGGTCTAACACACCCATGTGAAAGTAAGCATTTCTCACATGGGATACTGGTTTAGTCTTGCTCATCCCAGGGAGAGTGTGGCTGCCTCAAAGCTAAAGGTCCTTCCAGGAGGCCTGAGAGTCCTCCAGGGCTGGCCCCACCCTTCTGGGAGGGGTGAGAGCCCACTTAAGCCAGTCATGGGCATGAGAAGGGAAGCTGGAGAAGCACATGGCTTGACACTTCACTCAGTCTTTTGGTGTCAGGGTGGGAGGCAGAAGGGCAGCTCAGCTACTCAGAATTACTGCACACCATGTTGCAAACAGTGTCATGGAGACACAGCCCTTGGTAGCAACAGTAACAGCTAAGCACTTTCGGCGTATTGTGTTTTATCTTAATTCAGTCTTTGTGGACCCTGTGTGCTGTTTCCAGGACACACATGGGCACACAAACACAAAACAAAAACATCAATGAAAACCTGTAGTGCCAGTAAGTTAAACTTCTACCCCCACTCTGCTGCAGAGGCTAAGAGGAGGAGCTGAGATCCGAACACTGGCAGTCTGACTCCAGCACCTTCCCTGGAATTGAAGGAAGGGTAAATGTGGCTCCCAATGTGCCTTCCCCATCAACACTTCCTCCCACCCCAAAGCAGCCTGTTGGGAGCCTCCCTGCTGTCCTTCCAGACAGTCTTTGCGTGCGTAACTTGGTTTGCTAGTAATTTTATTCTCTATTACACCTAAAACATCATGGAGGGACTTTTAAAAACCACCCAGTCCCTTCATTTAAGGATGAAAATCAACTCAGGGCTAGAGAGTAACTGATGTATCCACATCAGACACCTTTAATTTTGAGTCAACAGTCTCCTGCTTGGCTTGAAGATTTACTTTGTCATCTGACCTCCTTGGATGCCAACCTCTCTCATGTGTCAGACCAGGTCTCTTAACTGCATTGTCCCCTAGGGCAGTATTCCATGATGACCGCCAGTCCACCTTTCCTTCCTCCTGTATCTTGTCTGAGGTCTGTATTGAATCCCTGGCTGGCCTCTAACTCATCTCCTGCCTCAGTCTCAGGAGTCTGGATGGCAGGCAAGCCACCACACCAGGCTTCAAACTTTAATCCTTTAGGGCCAGCATTCATGATTTGAAAAACCTCCTCATGTTAACTGTGTAATTTATTTAATATTTTCATTAAATTCATTCACTCTATTATTTTCTGTACTGTTTTTTAATGAACACTTTCTTTTAAATGAAATCACTGGCTTTGAAATCAGCCTCTGGCTTTGCTGTGCCAATCATACATTTTTAGAACACATATTAAAATAAATATATCAGCATTAAAATTCTAAAACTTAACCCATGTGCCAATTAATAATGAGAGGCAACTCACATTTGGGGAGAAATACAGATAAACTAATCCTGCCACATTAGCCAGCTAAGAGTGTTTTCTAATTAATCCATACAAGGCTGCTTAAAATTTCATGGAATGACACTTTTAGAAAAAGAAATGATTATAAAAACAAATTGGCTAAAAAGATACCTTAGAATAAACCTAACCCTCATCAAATTGCTATAAATACTTCTTTTTTTTTTTTATTTTTGAGACAGGGTTTCTCTGTATTGTTTTGGAGCCTGTCCTCTTGTAGACCAGGCTGGTCTCGAACTCACAGAGATCCACCTGCCTCTGCCTTCCAAGTGCTGGGACTAAAGGCGTGTGCCACCACCGCCCAGCGCTATAAATATTTCTAAATGCTTAAACACAATTTCTGTCCTTATGCCCAAAGCGACTCTCTCAGGAAGCTGGGGACCAACTAACTATTAGTGGGTTGCAGTCTCAGAAGAGTTATATAAATGTGTCCCACAGGAACCTGGAGCAAGGGACATTTTCTCCCTAAGCCTCAGTTTCCCTATACAAGAAATAAAGGGATTGGTCATCAGTGTGTGGCTCCCAAGCAGCTAAGGCTCACATGGTAGAGGGGCTTTGGGATGAAGTGTGTCTTGGAGTCTTCCTGAAAGAGGATGCACTAAATTCCCCAACAGGCTCATCAAAGGACCAGGAGTCCAGTGACAACATTCCTCTGGGACATAATCAACAAGACACAAGGACAGGTTTAAATGGGGTCTGAGAGTGTGTGGGGAAGGTGGTGGTGGTGATGGGGATATCATCCATTAATGGGGTGTGAAGAGTGGGTACACTCCATAAATAATCCCAGCTCTTAGGAGGTAAAGACGGGAGTTGCAGACAAGCTTGGACTATGCAGCAAGACCCTTTCTAAGAAGTTTCTTTTTTTTTTTCCTTTCTCTTTTTCTAAGAAAAGTGAACAGAGAAAAGGTACTTACCAGAGCAAATGTTGGTGGCGGTGGGGGTGCTGGTGGGGGAGGAACAGGCATCTTGGGCAGTTAAATTTTCAACAGTCTTGGAGATAACTCTGTATAAACAAAACACATCGGTGCATTAGTTCATTCAACAATGTCTGTCCGGACCTCCCTACTAGTCTACCGCAGTGACACAGGCCACCTTTTAGAAGGGGATGGCATGGACTACCCTGTCCTTGTTGCTCAGGCAGGACTGTTTAGGAGGGACCCTGCTGAGAGGGGATGATTGAAAGGAGATGCAGGGTGACTGAAAGTCATATCCAGTACTAACTCCGCTCATTTCTGTCCCCACACTGCAGGCCACAGTGGAACAGGGTGACTGTGAACCTGTGCCTGCAGAAGCAGGAAGAGTTTCTGGAAGCCACTGTAAATGAATCCCAGTCTGGTCAAACATATTTTAAGTAATGCTCATTTGTATAAAATATTTTCAGCTCTCCCACCTTCCAGCTCCCCTTGAATCAGGTCCAACATTTTAGTAAGACCCCTAGATGGCTGTCAGGTGGTGGTGACACATGCCTTTAGTCCCAGGTGAATCTCTGGGAGTTCAAGGCCAACTAGGTCTATAGAGCTAGTTCCAGGATAGCCAGAGCAGTTACACAGAAAAACCCTGTCTTGAAAAATAAAAAACAACAACAAAAAATCTCTAGATGGGTCAAAAGCATAAAAATTTAAGAATCTTTACCATACTGTTTGAGCTTTAAGCCAGTGAGCAATCTGGGACATCAGCCACCTGAGTTTGTTTGTTTGTTTATTTATTTTGGTTTTTCGAGACAGGGTTTCTCTGTGTAGCTTTGGAGCCTATCCTGGCACTCGGCGACCAGGCTGGCCTTGAACTCACAGAGATCTGCCTGCCTCTGCCTCCCGAGTGCTGGGATTAAAGTCATGTGCCACCAACACCCAGCCAGCCACCTGAGTTCTATATAATATATTCCCAAATTACAAACACAGGAATTATTTGACTTTTATTCTCAACAGTCTCTCCCAACAACAGAAAACAATTTCTTAGAGCTTAAACATGAATTTAGTTCAACCACTAAAAAATTTTAGTGGAAAATTTATGCCTTAAAAACATACCATCCATTGAAATACTGTGGACAGCTTGCTTCCTGTGAACAGCATAGCTAGATTCCTCACACCTGCTTCTAAATGAGAATGAAGACATCTGGGACCCATTCCTTCAAAGTGAGTTAACTGTGAAATGGAACTTAGCCCAGCCCTGTGTGGTGGGACATCCCTGCAATCCAAGTACTTAGGCAGAAGCAGGAGAACCATGGCAAGTCTGAGACCTACACAGCAAGCCCCTCATTAGCCAGCACTACAGAGAGTCCCTGGAAGGAAGGGCAGTGAGTGTATTTTCCAGTTTCTTTACTCAGCTACTAACAGTCAACAACACTGCAAGCTAGCTCTGATGCATTCATCTTATAGCCAGGAATTCCAAGACCTAGAAAAACTGAGTCGTACCAAAAATCCCCAAGGTTGTTCTTCATTAGAATCGTGTCCTTTGGGTCTCTGCTTTCCCACTGGTCTACACTGCCCTGTTCCCTGCTCTCCCACTGGGCCACACCGCCCTGCTTGGGGCCATTTAGAGCAGTTTTTTTTTTTTTTTTTGGTGAAGCTTGTTTGTTACGTAGGCTGGAATCCTTTGAAGTAAGAAGCTGTCCTAGACTAGAACATCTCTGCTGCTCCAGATGATTTATCCCTTCGTTCATCTCAGTGTAAAAGGCTGCCAAGTACCTTTTCTGTAGTTCAGCTGAGTAGCTTCTAAGCGTGATCTGGACCCTTCCAGGTTGAGCCTTAAGGGAAGCTCTTTAAAAATCCCAGAAATCCTAGCCGCGAGTCTTGGCACTTCATTCACCACATGGATCAAAGGCCAATTTTGTGTCTCCCTGTGCTGGGCTCACTGCCAGGCCCACATCTTGGCTGTCTTCTTACCAGACTATGGACTCCACCAGGTCTCCCTAGTGACATAAAGTAAGGTTCTCACTAAATACGTGTAGGGAAGGAGCTGGGGTTACATAAGCAGATCAAGTGCTTGTCACTGGAATGGCTCACATTGCATCTAGTGTTCTATGAGGCCTGGGCAAAGAATGTGCCGTATCTCAGAAGGGCTTGCTAGTGTTAACTGCTGGGACTTCTTTTTATGGCAGCCTGGGACTTCCTGAGTAAATTCAAACCCCAAGGCCTTGAAAAGTAGGGCTTTCCAGTGTCTCCTACAGCCTACAGCAGTCAGAGATGACCTTCCTGAAGGATCCTGGCACCAGGGCACAGACTCTAAAGGACTAGGCATTCCTGTCTGTGTCCTCACACCCACAGGGCTCACAGTGGGATCAGGGGCTTGTGAGTTTGGGGGACCAAAACAAAGTGAATATTTGAAAAGTACAATGTCATACTTCAACATTGGACTAGACGTCACACCCCATCCTAGAGCACCTGGGTATTGCACAGCTGGGACCCATTTGTTAACTGCGGAGCTGGTTAGGAAGAATACCATTCATGGAAGACTGCTAGCACACTCCCTTTTCTAGAGAGGCTCAACCACAAATTTGCCCCAGGAAGCTCACAACTTCTTCAATATGCTAGGAAGACAGACTTATCCCTGAACATAAAATGACTGATTTGGGGGACTGAGAGAATTTGCTAGTCATTTAAATAAGTTGCTTTGCAGTCTAAAGCTAATTTAGAACTCAATCTGAAGTTGACTCTATGAAGCCCACACCACTAAATAATCCAAAGGGAGGATTTCCAATAAACACAGTGGGGACACCAGTCAGTCATCAGAAGGAGGGTTTCTAATCCTGGGGGTTGGGGGTGGATTCCATTAGTAAAGACCAGAAATGGCTTTATCCAGTCATGTTTTGTTTGTTTGTTTGTTTTACTGCTATGGGTTATTTGAAAACTCAGAGCATATTGTTCTGTAAACATTGCCAGAAGTTGCCCTTAAACACTATGCTACATAAAAGGGAACAAAGGAAAGTAACCCTTTCTCCACAGAAGGGGTCAAATAGCTGGGCGCTTTGTGTGCCCTGTGTCTGGAAGGATGGGGAGGGTTACCATAGAAACAACACAACAGATCCAAAGGTCCAACTGCTCTTGCCCTCGGTACTTTTACATTGTTCTATAATTTCCATTTAGGTCCAGTAACAGTTTATATATAGCACCCTTAATTTATTTCATGATTGCTTGCAGGCTCCTGGCTCCCTTCCAACTTAGCTTTGTTATTTTCTCCCCTGACTCCAAGGGGGAACATTGTGGAAAATATCAGGCAACACAGAAAGACACCAAAAGTTCCGTTTGTCCTCAGAAAAAAAGCATTGAGTAATAATTGGCTTTTAGATGAAAAGGGAGCTGGGGTAAATAACCCCCAGAAATCATTCTTGTTTTGATGTATATCCTCCTAGCTTAAAAATGCATGTCTATGTATGCCTGGGCACCTGTCTACCATTCTCTCAGGCTGGGAAAATGTGTTCTCCACCCCCCATGTCTGGCCAAGACATTAATATAAGAGGTTCCAGAATACATATAACTCAATCATGCTTAAATGAGTCAAAGGTCTTAAATTCACATTGTTATTACAACCGTAAAAATAAGTAAACTCAAGGGCATTCGTTCAGAAGCTATGGATCTACTCAAAGGCACATAATCTTATTTAGTAATATCAAATTGCTGCTAAAATCATGAATTTTTAAAAAGCTCAGAGTTTTGAGATTCTTACTGGAAAAATTCTTGATTTTATTCTTTAGAGACTTCATAATGAAAACTGAGTTGGATGTCTTTAAGACCCGAAAACCATTAAAACTAATTAAGGTGAATTTGGCTTTGTTCTTCAACTTCCTGTAAAAGGGCTCGACGGGAAAATCGATGCTCACAGTAAACCACAGTCATCCTGTTTCTTTAACACAATCTTTTCACAGGTGCAGTTGCCTGTAGTTTCTATTTTATGACACCAGTTGCTAGGCAACACTGCCCCCCCCCATCCTCCATGGCCATTTCTGGGACTTAAAACCCACACAGAAAGGCTTGTTTCTCTTACTGTTAGTTACTCCACCTCTCCTGAGCTGCAGGTCCCTGCTCAGGACAAGGAGGCAGCCCAAACATGTGAGGCAAGCACAATACAGAAAGCAAACAGACAAAGTCAGTCAGTGATGGTTTGCCCCCACTAGTGTCCCCCGTGGAACCCACACAGGCTGCACCCAGAATCCTCCATGTCCCAAAATGCACTTCTTCTTTGCTCATTTGCTCTTTTGAAACAGCAGCTTCAGTGACTGCTAGGACTGTTTTCTTTCTCACGGTAGCAGGTTGTGCCTGCAGCACTCAGAAGTTAGTTCAGACAGGCTTCACTCAGAGTTCTAGAGAAAGAGGTGGTTTAGGGCTGAGGCTACAGTGGTCGTGGTAGGGTGTTTGCCAGCATGTGGCCCCAAAAGCACTCCCCAGAGCAGCATGGAGACCGACCTGGGACACAGACTCACACTCTCACTCCAATAGTGACTACAGGAGAAACAGAGGTTACCATGAAGCTTATACTTTAACCCACTATATTACATGTTTAGAAATGAGCAGAAGTTATAGGTATCCCAGCCCTTCTAAAATTAAGAGCATGAAGTTTAGCTGGGTGACCGAGCTACCTGTGGGTTAGCTTAAGGGGTTAGGGCCAGGGGTCCTTTACTTTATGCATATGAGAAACACGATTTTCTTCCCTCTATCTTCCATCTTAAAAGTACCTTCTTTAAGGGCTCAAAGCTGAAGTTTCCCTAAATCCTCAGCACCATTTTTAGTATTCCCAAGAGGATTAATCTCCGCCTTCAACCTGCAGCGAGAGTGCACAAACACACACACACACACACACACACACACACACACACACACACACACAGAACACTCAGGTTGGCATACCTATTTATTGCATCATCTCAAGTGTAGCCTTGTAATATGTGCTGAAATGTCACCAGATTTCTAAAAAGGTCAAAATACTTAGAAAGGAAAAATATTTTACTTACAATTAATCATTTGAAGCATATTTAATGTCGCTATGATAATTAAAACAAAACATGTTGTA